CCTCGACGAGAAGGTGCGCGCCCCGAGCAGGCGACTGATGATAGGTGGCTAACATGCGCAGGCCTTCGAAGCCATGGTCAAGGAGATCTCCAACGCCCTCGTCGAAGCCGACGTCAACGTCAAACTCGTCATGAACCTGCGCCAATCGATAAAGAAGGCCGTCGACTTCAAGCACCTCGCGCCGGGCGTCAACAAGAAGCGCCTCATCCAGAAGGCCGTCTTCGATGAACTCGTCAAGATGGTCGACCCCCATGCTGAGCCCTTCAAGCCCAAGAAGGGCAAGTCCAACGTCATCATGTTCGTCGGTCTCCAGGGTGCGGGTAAAACGACGACGTGTACAAAGCTGGCGAGATGGTACCAGGCAAGAGGCTTCAAGGCCTGCCTGGTGTGCGCCGACACTTTCCGTGCCGGTGCCTTCGACCAATTGAAGCAGAACGCGACCAAAGCCAAAATTCCATACTACGGTAGCCATACACAGACCGATCCCGTGGTGGTGGCGGGCGAGGGTGTGGAGAAGTTCAAGAAGGAGCGCTTCGAGATCATCATCGTGGATACCTCGGGACGACACAGGCAAGAGAAGGATCTGTTCGACGAGATGGTGCAGATTCAGAACGCTGTGACGCCCGACCAGACCATCATGGTGTTGGACGGAACAATTGGACAGGCTGCTGAGTCGCAAGCACGCGCTTTCAAAGAGGCCGCAGATTTCGGAGCAATCGTCATCACCAAGACGGACGGTGCCGCAGCAGGAGGTGGCGCCATTTCCGCCGTCGCAGCAACGCACACGCCTATCGTCTTCCTCGGTAACGGAGAACACATGCTGGATCTCGAGCGTTTCGCGCCACAGGCTTTCGTCTCGAAGCTGCTCGGCATGGGAGACGTCCAAGGGCTCGTCGAACACGTACAATCACTCAAGCTCGACCAAAAGGACACAATGAAGCACATCACCCAGGGTATCTTCACAATCAAGGACCTGCGGGATCAGCTCTCCAACATCATGAAGATGGGGCCATTGTCGAAGATGGCGGGCATGATTCCTGGACTTAGCAGCATGATGGGCGGCATGGACGACGAAGAAGGCGGCACAAAGTTGAAGCGCATGATCTACATCTGTGACAGTATGACTGAGAAAGAGCTGGAGTCGGACGGAAAGATGTTTGTCGATCAACCCACGCGTATGACACGTATCGCCCGCGGCTCTGGTACCTCGGTCCGCGAAGTCGAGGAACTGCTTACACAACACCGCATGATGGCTGGTATGGCAAAGAAGATGAAGGGAGGAATGGCTAACATGCAGAAAGCACAGGGCGCGATGGGTGGAGGCAACAAGCAACAACAACTCGCGGCTATGCAGAAGCGCATGCAAAGTATGGGTGGCGGCGCAGGTGGTGCAGGCGGCGGCATGCCAGATATCGGCGCTATGATGAAGATGATGGGTGGAGGAGGCGGTGGCGGCGGCGGCATGCCCGATCTATCCGCGCTCGGTGGTATGGGAGGGGGAGGTATGCCTGACATGGGCGCCTTGATGAAGATGATGGGTGGCATGGGCGGCATGCCAGGTATGGGCGGAGGTGGTGGTGGTGGACAAGGAAAGGGACGGAGGTAGTATGACAGCCAAGAGGATATCAGTTTGCGCTTTTTGATGCATAGCCGCGGCGTTCGGGTTTGATATCACATCTGGAGGGGTTTTCGTGTTGAGGTACACATGTTATGTCACTACTTCCACCTGCTTCATTCTCTGACTTTCTGCCTGAGTAGCAATTGTCTTGCTTATGTTTGGTACGAGGAGTTGTCTTGTGCCGGGTCATGCCAGAACGTTGGCTCTGCTGCACTTTCCTGGTAATGCTTTCGGGAACGTGGGTAGGTTTAGAACAAGGGCTTCCGTTGATGCTCAAGGAGTGAGGCGCGTCTCGTGGCGGATACTTTGAGCTGCCCGTGGACATGTTCTGAGAGAAAACGCTGGGTAATGTAGGCCCTTAGAGGTCATTTCATTGTTGATGAGACATCACCATGGCACTGTTTAGATATGCTGATCGTTAACTTCTCACTACAACATGCCCATTCACACGCGCCCCTGAGCCTACTTAACGCTGACTCTTTCCTTTTCTAAACTTCCCGACTAACCCGCACCTCCACACCCAAAACATCAGTGCCAACCCACCCAAATTCACCAAACATGTCTGTCCCAAGCAAGCAGACACAAGAGAATTCCGAAGTTTCGGATCCATCAACGCATCAAGACGATCTCTCGGATCTGCTAGCTGAAGTCCCATTCGGTCACATAATCACGAAGCGCGGAGCCCACGAAGTCCACGAAAGACAGGGCGTATCAGTGATCCGCAAAGACCTCGTAGATCTACTAGACGCTTACGCAGCCCTAGACATCTGGTTCTACGTCCCCAACCCCCACTCTGACCTGAAACAACTAGAAGCCAACTTCTACCTAACCGACACCAACATCTCCGCCACCAACACGCGCCATGTCGTCGTCCTAGTCCACCATTTCCTCCTTACCGTAGCCACATTGCCCCACTTGCATACTCTCGTTATTAATACAGACGTTCCAGAGTCAGCGACCCAGTCGCCAGAGACTGAGCAGCTTCAAACGCAATTCATTAAGGAGATTATGCGGGAGGTTTTTGCGTGGTTTATAGGTGGTGGGGAGAAGTTTCGAGTTGTTTTGTGTACCATGGGGGAGACGGATGTTGGGGGTAGTTTTAGGCATGTTTTAAGAGAGGCTGACGGGGAGAAAGCGGGGATGAGCGTGAGCCCTTGGGAGCAAAAGTTTGGAGGAATGAAGAGGAGCGGGATTGTTTGGCGGAGGGTGGCATCTTCTGCGATCTCGATGCCGAGAAGAGCTTCCGTGTAAGCGGGTTGGTTACCTTGGAAGCGGGGAGAGGATGTAACTCATAGATTACGGATGTGTGGTAGAGTCTGTATAGGCTTTTGAATGATACGAGACGTTGAAATTGCCGATAGCTACTGTATTGTTTGTTATATCAGCTCCTCACCTTTCTTGTCCATGTCTTTCTGCTGTGCCTGTCCTTTCTGATACTCTTCAAAGTCAAAGCCTAGTTCCTTCACATCTCTAATATCCCTCCTCTTCTCCCCCATCTTTCCAAATGCCTGCCGTATCTTTGGGAAGTTCTCGCGACACCAGTACTCCCACTCGCCCCAGATGGGTGGTACCTTCCCCCTGTCGTTGTTTTCCAACCCCTCCTTGCATTCAGCGCTCAATGCCCACTTGCTCATTGCGTTGATGTAGTTGGCATCCTTGGGGAAAGGCAGGAGATGGAAGTTTCGTCCAGCGCCCATTTCCTCCTCGATGCTCTTCTCCCAGTCACGCATTTCTTGACGTGAGGGGAGCGAAAGACGACCGGAGTATATGCGCGCGAGAACAGCGGATTGCACTTCTGCTACTGGGAAAGGGATAACGCGTTGATTGAGGGCGAGGAAGCTTAGGGTCGGCCGAGGGGCGTAAAAGACATGCTGGTATGTATGGTTTACTCTTTCGCCGGTAGTAATGAGTTTAGGCTCTACGTCTTGCAGGAAGGGTAGACTGTAGAAGTACCCGGTAGCAAAGACGATGGCATCGATGTCGTGTTCTTCTGTTCCGTCTTCGAACATTACGCCTCTGCTGTTAGGGAGAAACTGTTTGATGGGCGGAACTTCTCGTCTCTTTTGATCTTCACCTGCTGTTCCGTGGGTTGCGCTGAACATGGATTGCGACCTGGTCGACCACAACAACGGCTTTTGGCAGAACTCAGCGATCTGAGCGCTGACATCTGCGCCAGATGCTGAATTGCCCACAACGATTGTCTTCTTCCCAGTGAAATCCTCGGGCTTCCGGTAATACTTCGAATGGCTAATGCGACCGGGGTTCTGTGCAGCCCACTCTTTGATTCTGGCCATGGGTGGGATGTAGGGAACTATAAAGTGGCCATTCGCTACAATAACTGCATCGTAGATTTCGGATACGTCTTCGTTCTTAAGTAGATTATGCGTAGTCACTTTCCATGGGCTGCTAGCGACGTCGGGGTCTACTGGACTGACATTGGTGACTTGTGTACAGTATCGAACAAGGTTTTGTACATCCGCGGAGTAATCGTCGATATATTTTAGTACTGTCTCATGAGTAGGAAAGAGTTGACTATCCGCGGGCCAATCCAGGTCTTGGAAGCCCATTAGTCCTCTAGGTATATTCGTTTCGAGCTTTTCGTACATTGGCGATAAAAAGGAGGGAATTTTGGAAGTTCCGTTGATGCCATTCGTATCAATATTTCCGTTCACTACAGCATCTTTGGGCTGCCACTCTGGTTTTTGAACGTCTTTATTGGGGTTGGTCTGAGGTATGTCGAAGAGATTCTCGTCCCGCTGTTCGCCTGTATATATCCAGATCCCCCCTGATCGACCTCGTTGTTCAAATAGGACGATCTTGTCAAATGCCTTCTCAGCTCGGAGGTATTTTGCCGCCGCCACACCCGATGGTCCAGCGCCTACAATGGCTATCGTCCTAGCTCTGATTGATGTTCTATTGCTATCGGAAGACATCGTAGCAGACTTTATTGGGGCGAGAGAACGGGAGTGACGAAGTGATAGCGAAGTACGCGCAGACGCAACAAAAGTTCTAGCCAAAGGGTATCTCGGAAACAGCAAGGAGACCATGGGAAGAAGTTGATGACATGGAATGACGCCGAGACATGGGAGGTGGAAAGCGAGGATCGGAGCTGATCGGAATGGCCTTCCGATCGGAACTCGGCGAGGCTGACGCGCATCATCGACCTGTGACATGAGCTTGCGCATACAACCACCGGTGGTCAACTGATGATTCGGCCCTACCGAAACTCTATTAACTCACATTCCTTGACCGACACACCCCTCATTCACGTAGTCGTCTCCTCCTGTCTTATTCCTCTCCAGCAATGCTACGCACACTGCGACTTGCACGCGTTTTACCCGCCCCACGACCAGTCCGAAGCTTCTCAACCAAGATTGCAGCCATGGCACCACTGCGCATCGGCTTCGTGCCAGGTAGGCGCGTCATCAATACTGCTGCATCGTCCGCTGACGGGAATAGAACACTTCTCCACACCGCTCGAGTTCGCGAAGAAGCACTACGGCCTCGACGCGAAGCTCCTCCCGTTCCCCAGTGGCACAGGGCACATGGTCACGGCCCTGCAAGCCGACGAAATCGATATCGGAGTTGGCCTTACCGAAGGCTGGATAGCGGCACTGGGAAAAGCACAGGCGGCTAAGCAGGACGCTGGCTTCAGCGTGGTGGGGACATACGTCGAGACTCCGCTGTGCTGGGCCATATCCACAGGCGCCAAGAGGGATGAGCTCAACGGAATACAAGACCTGAAGGGCAAGAAAGTCGGCGTGTCCAGGATAGGAAGTGGCAGCTACGTGATGAGCTTCGTGCTTGCCGACCAGCAAGGGTGGCTCGACACTTCTTCGTCCAACAGCCCACCATTCCCCGTCGAGGTGCTGAACACGTTTGCGAACCTCCGTGATGGAGTCAACGACAGCACGGCCGACTTCTTTATGTGGGAGCACTTCACGTCGAAGCGCTACTACGACAACGGCGAGATCAAGCGCATCGGCGAGATCTACACACCCTGGTCCTCGTGGAAGATCGTCGCCGCAAACCATCTATTGAACCCGAAGAACTGGAGTTCGGCACCCAACGCCAGCAAGCCAGTGCTTACTGGGGAACTCGAGGACGTCATGGACAAGATCAACAAGGGAGTCAAACACTTTGAGGCGAACCAGGAAGAGGCCGTCCAGTACATCAGCACCAAGCTCGATTACTCGGAAGAGGACGCGCGAGAGTGGTTGAAGACTGTTCGCTTCGCCAAAGATGTGAAGGGCGTGGACAAGGAGGTTGTGAACAAGACCGTTGGCATACTGCAGAAGGCTGGTGTGTTGGGCGGGCAGGTTGATCAGCCCGCTATGATCGGGCTCGAGCGACATGCGGCATGAAGCTAATCTGTGCAAACCGCTGAATATCATGCCACGCGACTCGGACAACGGTTCGCGCACCGTGCCCAATAGCTCTAGTGTCGGCAAGCACACCGTGCGATAGGATCGCCAGTGCATGGTCGGAACGATGTCAAAGCTCGGAGATTTGGGTTCCATGCTTTTTGTTTGTTATGTACTGCATATCAGTCAGAGCATCCGTCTGCAACTACCAACGCAGCGAGAATGCCTTCACCAGTACCGTCACATCGAAGAGCCAATACAACGCACAAGGCAATGCATTCACCTGTTTCACCTCTACAGAGTGCGACTTCACAGCACCGCGAAGCATTTATACTCGCCGGCAGGTTCTCATGGAGTGCCCTTGGAGATTCTCGCACAGCTACCTGCGCCTCGACCACCGACATTCCACTACAACGGACCCTAAAAGCCTTCGCCTCCGAGTCCAGCCCAACACGAAGAAAGCCTACTTTCGTCAACTTTTCCAGACCACTACCCCCGCAATGCCAACCGGCACTCCAAAAGAGCTAGAGTTATCTCACCTCGATCAGCAGCCCCACATCCGCGTGTATGGCCGCTACTACATCATATTTCCCTTTCCGGACATCAGTCGCGCCCATGAAGCAAAAGAGGCGCTGCACAATGGCTTCAAAGAAGTTCTGAGACAGTTTCCATATCTCGCTGGCACTGTGGACTTAGACCCCTCTACCGACCTTCTCCGTGTGCAGTACCCCGACCCCATCGATCTCGAAGCCGAGGCACGCCGTATATTCACAGTCAGTTACGACGATGCACAGCATGACTACGATTCGCTTGCGAAGGACGCCTTCCTCCCAGACGAGTTGCCCGCTACTATCTTCTGCCCAAACGAACTGAAACACCACGCTGGATTGGGCGAAGATGCGTATGCCGAAAGGATGACAAGCTTTTCGAAAGGACCTTTGCCAACCTTCGCGGCCCAGGCTACCTTCATCCCCGGAGGTCTGATACTGAGCGCCTGGTGGTATCATGCCGTTGTCGATGGCACTGGCAATGGAAGGATCCAAAAGATATGGTCCGATGCGGTACGAGCTCTCAGCATCAAAAAGAACAAACTACCGCCAGTTCGTCCGCCTGCTAGATACTATCGCGTACCAAGCTACAAGGATCAGCTCCAACCATTGAAGGATATCGTCAAGGAATGGAACGTGGTACCAGACCCGTCATCAGCGCGTCAAGCGCTCGCAACGCTGGTCCAAGAAGCCGATGCAGCAGGCCAGTCTACTAATACACCTGAGAAGCCATTTGCGAAGCGCTTTGAGCTCCGCAAAGGACCGGATGAAGGACCCAATAAAGTCGTTGCCGAGATGTTTCGCTTCTCATCACAAGCTATCGAAGAGCTCCGCAACGAGCTATCTGTTAAGATCGGGAAGCGTGTATCCAACTTTACCGTACTATCAGCTATCGTCTGGGCAAATGTCATACGCGCTCGCTCAAAGTCGATCACAGCTTCGGGTAACACGCAGTCGACCCTTGCCGTCGTTGTAGATCTCAGAAAGTTCCTTCCACTGCCCTTCTCATCCCCGGATTATCTTGGCAACCTGGTGTTGTCCGCTACGCCTACCTTGGATCTCGATGGCGCTGCGGCCTCTCTTGAGGACATCGCAGCCAAGATTACAGATGCCCTGCACGCCATCAACGCAAAATGGGCAGTCACTCAGATCAACAGCGTCCTTACCAACCCTGCCGAAGCGCAGCAATCCCTTTTGAAGTTTCCCAAAGGCCCAGACCTATACATCACTAGTTGGCAAAGGATGGGAGCTGACAGGGAGTGGTGCATCCCAGGCACGAGCAAGTCGAATGCGACTGCTATTCGGCGAGCGGCGTGGGTCAGCGAAGGTGGCATCGTGGTCTTGCCCAGAGAAGAAGACAAAGAAGGACAAGAAGGAGAGCCGTACGAGATCATGATCAGTCTCACAAAGGCCGACATGGAACGATTCAGGGCCGGATTAGAAGATGCTAGATGGTTGGTCGACTCGTCATATAAGCCGGGCAAGGTCGTCACCTGGCGTGACATCTTCTCTCGCCGTCTTACCGGATTCGGACTGGCCTACGGTGGTGCCCTCTGCCTCTTGACCGTGGTCATATGTGTGTGCACTCTCTCCCAGTCTGCGCGGATAGCTGGTGTTGCACAGGGGCCTTCTCAGGAAGAACTCAGGTAGATAGGCTTTGTTCAGAGTGTCGGATCTCTTACAGGTGGTCTGGCATGGGATAGGGAGTTACCCTCGTTAGGACGAAGGAAGTGAAGAGAACAAGGCGCCTGCGATGTGGCCAGAGTGGCTACAAGTGCCGAATGTAACCTAAATAACCATCTCAGGACATCTTCAATTGAACTACTCATGCATACTGCATAACCATCATTCGATGTCTCCATTATTCCTGATTCGTGCTGTTTGCTCCCGGCTTCTCAGCAAACGCGATCGTGCCTCGCTTGCGCGATTACCTTCACCGCTCGGCCCTGTACCTGCAGTTTCATGACTAAAAGTGACGATCCTCCGCGGCATGCTACCCGCTAGCGCCCCATCAAGCATCGACCCTGAGAAAATCCAGTTGCTACATGGCACGGCCAGCTTACACACCAGCGCCCAATTATTAGGCACTATCATCACTATCGAAATACCCTACAGATTCCCATACAAAAGCCATGGATCCCGAAAGAGAGAGTCTGCTCTCATACCACGAGACGCAGCGTGAAAGAACACAACAGCTGCTTTCGCACGAGATCACAGCGAGTGCGCAAGCTAATGAAGATTACCCTGTTGATCATGGCAAAGTGGCGTGGATGCAGGTTCTTGGTGGATTCATTCTGTTCGCGAACAGTTGGGGCTTACCGAATGCATTCGGCGTCTTCCAAACATACTACGTCGACACCTTGATGCCGGAGCAGGATGCGTCGCGTATTGCCTGGATCGGATCGATACAGCTTTTCTTCACTACTATCGGTTGCTTGCCTGGCGGTGCGCTGCTTGATCGGGGATACCTCAAAAGTATCATCGCTGTTGGCACGGGCCTCGAGGTACTGGGTCTGATCCTGAATTCTTTCTTCAAGAGCTATTGGGCCGTCTTCTTCGCTCAGGGAGTGTGCATGGGCATTGGCAGCGGTTTGATGGCGATAGTACCCGTCGCTGTGCTGGCCATGTTCTTCGAGAAGAAACGCATGCTGGCTACTGGTCTTGCATCGACTGGCGCTAGTGTTGCTGGTATCGCTTACACTCTCTCCTTACGCTCGCTCTTCCTCAGCGTCGGGTTCGCGTGGGCTGTTCGGATCTTTGCGCTCATCATATTGGTGACCAATGCCGTCGCTTTTGTGGTGATGCGCTTGCAGCTTCAGTACGGATCCAAGGGCTCCAGCTTTGGCTTTCACCACTTCAAAGATCTGCCATACACGATCTTTGTCGTCGCTTTCACGCTGTTCGTCGCGTCCTCGTTCGTGCCGTTCTTCTTCATCCAGGAGTACGCTATCAAGCTCGGTGTGTCGAAGGATATGGCATTCAACCTGTTGTCGATCATGAACGCCGCCAATATTTTTGGGCGTTTTGTTCCAAACTTCATCGCCGACAGGTACGTTCTCATCATCCAATTTTCGCAATAGCCTAGTACTCACAACTTTAGGTACGGCGGTGTCAACACCCTACTTCCTCTCACCGTCGCCTGCATCATCACCCTATGCATGCTACCCCTCGCTCAGGAATTGAACGGTCTCGTCGCTATCAGCATCGTGTACGGCTTCCTTTCTGGCGGCGTGGTGATTCTACCTGGCCCTACTCTCACCGACCTCTCGCCCAACAAGGCCTCCATCGGCGTACGTCTCGGATTGGCGTATCTCGTTGCTGCTTTCGGCGGGCTGCTCGGTAACCCCGCCATGGGCGCACTCAAGGGCGAGGGAAATGGTGCGGTAGAGAACTTCCAGGGTGTGTGGTTCTGCGCGGCAGGCGTAATGGGTGTGGGTGCCGTAGCTCTTATCGCCACACGATGGCTCAAGTTGGGTAGCATTTGGGCTGCAGGCAGAGTATGAGGTCTGACGGGACAACCTCAACTCTGAATTCCTAGAAGGCAGGTGGTGGTAGAAGAATTTCAGCTTACCGTGGCTTATCTAATCACGCCCGACCGTGCAGGCTGGCTCGGTGTTGTCTACGCAGCCAATCACATACTGCCACCGGTTAGATCTTTAGTGATAGTTGCGCATGAGGCAGCATTCTGAAGATCTGGATCACTTGATAGCTGTCGTGTTACACAGCATCTCGAAGAGGAAATATTCCATTTTCAGCGGACACCGTATGGAACGAAGACGATATATAAGATGAGATACCGTCAGCATACTCTGGAATACTACTAGCATCCTAGTCATAGATTCAGTGCCTAGCTGGAAGGGAAAATGCTACTCTTCGCCTCCACCACCTCTTTCCTCTCAATCCTCTGCACTCTCCCAATAACACGCGCCGCGTTCTACTACCCCACACCCGCACTCTCCTTCCTCGAACACATCCTCGTCGACAACTGGGGCGCCTACGCTTCCAATTTCTCCTCCGCAATCACCCCTTGCACGAATTATGTTTCACAGACCGGTACTACAGGGCGCAATAGTGGTCGCACCACGGCAGCCCAATGGATGCGCGTCATGTTCCACGACTTTGTTACCGCGAATGTAAGTGCTGGCACAGGAGGTATTGATGCTAGTATTGGGTTTGAGACGGCGAGGGAAGAGAATAAGGGGAGTGCATTTAACGATAGTTTTTCGTTTTGGAGGCCGTTTGTTGGGGAGAGGATTTCTAGTGAGTGCATCGCTCTTGATGAGTGTTTGTTGATGGAAGTGGCGCTGACGAAGCGGTAGTGGCCGATCTTGTTGCGCTCGGTACGGTGATGTCGAATAATCTGTGTGGAGGCGCGCAGATGCCGTTTCGACCTGGCCGCGTTGATGCGACGGAAGCTGGAAAGACGACTGGTGTTCCAGCACCAGAGACGGATCTAGAAGAGACGTTACTTTTCTTCGAGCGCGCGGGGTTCGACAAAGTGGATGCTATTGGGCTCACGGCTTGCGGACACACTCTGGGCAGCGTACACCACGTAGGTATTTGGTTGCTATTCGATTGGGCGAGACTCACTCATCGGTGTAGGGCGGCTTCCCGGAGGCTGTAGACGACAGCTTCGTCACGCCCAATAACACGAATGGCGGTAGTAACTTCGACACTACACGCGGAGTCTTCGACCCAAACGTCCTCGGCGAATACTTGAACGGAACGGGAAACAAAGGAGGACCGCTAGTCATGTCGTATAACGACACGATGAATTCCGATAAACGGCTTTACGAGAGCGATAAGAATGCGACGATGCATGCTCTATTCGCGCAAGGAACAGGCTTTCTTGCGACGTGTGCCGATCTCATGGGCCGAGCCATCAACACCGTACCTGCTAGTGTTCAGCTCTCCGAGCCAATTACTGTCATGCCGGTCAAGCCTGTGAATGTCACCTACGATTTCAGCGAGGAAGGAAAATTGACGCTTTCTGGAAAGATCAGGATCCTCACACCGGCAGGCAGCTCACCACCGCAATCACTAACCCTTCGCATCAGCCACCACGGGATGGAACTTGAACCAGAAATCGAGACGGGCAGCACAGTCTTTGGCCGCAGTGGTGGTGAATACGGAATTTCGACGTACTTTCCGTTCTCGCTTTCCGGACCCGCCATTCAAAATGCCACGTCTTTCTCCGTCCAGGCACCCGAGGTACCGGAACAGAGTTTTCGGATCAGTAGCCAAGTCTTCGTCGTTCCAAGCCTAACCGTTCTGAGCGGCACAGCACTCAATGTGACAGTTGCTGACTGCCAAAAGAGCTCGTGTGAAGATTTGACTATCCACGTTTCCGCCCCGATAACACAGCGTGGCACGCTGGCGCCGAAGATGAGTGGGATGCATATGGTATTGAGTGGAGTGAAACAGGAAAGAAAGGTATGTACAATGTGCGAGGGGCAGATTGTCCTGCCCGATGTGCCGACTGGGCTAGTTACTATCGGAGCTTTCATGGAAGGGAAGCATGTTGACACCCTTCTGGTTAATGGAGGGCGAGCTGGCTGGTAAGATGAAGGGACCTGAACTCGTGTCGCCTCTTGCTGCACTCGTGTTGTTGAACTTTGAAAACTAGATGGCTTTCAATACAATGTTCATTTCTACCCTAAAAGGTTTTCTTCCAAAATTGCGACTCATATGACAATGCCTACAGCGACGACGTCGACAGTGACCACGGCCGCTCACCAACATCCCACTTCTTAGGCTCTTCACCCATATAGAACATCAACTCGCCTCCTTCCGCAATCTCGCTATGCTTCAACCAAGCTCGATCGAGTTCCTGTCCGTTCCAGGTAACCTTTTGCGGGTAATAGCTTGTGCTTGACAGGTTCTGGGCCCGGATAGTCAACGACGTCTCGACTGCCGTTCCACTAAAAAGCGAGACCTTGAGCCAAGAGAACCGGGGAGCAGAAAGAAGGTAAAGCGGCTGAGCAGACACAGGATACATGCCCATGAGGTTGAACACCAACCAACTGGGTAGAGCACCACCGTCGATGTTTCCGGGGTATCCGTTACGGGCGTCGCTGTAGAAGTCGTCGACGATAGCTCGAGTCCGATTGACTGTCATCCAGTTCATGCCAGGTACGTAGTTATAGAGGAATGGCGTTGCGAAGGATGGTTCGTTTCCTGGGTTGAAGAGAGCAGAGCCGGCATCGTTGTTTGCGCCGACTGATGTGCCGAAGCCTGGAATGAAGGACGCGTCTAGTCGACGGACGAAAGCATCGTCGCCGCCCATCAGATCGATAACTTTGGCCATGTCGTGTGGTGCGACACTGAATGCAGTCTCCCAAACCTTGGCTTCGTAGATGTCTGCATCCCAACCGCATGTTCCGCAGCTCAACGGATCATACGCTGTAGTGTTCCACGTCCCATCCGCGTTTCTAGGGCCTGGGAAGCCAGTGAATGTACCCGTGCCGCTGAGAGTTGTGTTTGCCATGGGATTCCATTGGTTCTGCCACCAGCTTGCTCGTTCGCGCATCTGATCGACGTCTTCCTGGGACTTCTTAAGCCCAGCTGCCATGCTGTAGATCGCGAAGTCGTTCTGCGGGTACTCGACGCCACGAGAAACACTGCGGGTGTGGTTGCGCGTGATGAAGCGAAGGGAGAGATAATCATCCAGTGCTCCTCTGCCTTCCTTCGTGGCGCCGTCGAAGGCGACCGGATCAACGTTGCGCTCGGGTAATACGTTCGCGTCCTTCATCACTGCCTTGTAGGCCTCTTGCCAGTCGATCCCGCTGTCGAGCTCGCCTCGACCAGTCTCACCGGAAAGTGCATGAACACTCTTGACGAAGCCGTCGACTAAGACCATGTCTGCGTGTGTGCCGCCCTGAACGCGACCATTCCAGTTTGCTGCGCGACCGGCTGGCAGGTAACCCTCTTCCGTGAAGATAGAGATGAGACCAGAGAGAATGCGTGAGTACGGCTTCGTGAAGACCAGGTGATATAAGGGTAGAAGGGTACGATAAGTGTCCCACAGCGTATAGTGGTCGTCGTAATATGGCTTAGCATCGTTTGACTCCCAATTAGGGCATTCGCCGGTCTTGTCGGTTGGCATCAGGCCTGTCTGATACAGTCCAGAGTAAAGCATCCTCTTCAAAGTTTTGTTGTTGCTTGTCGAATGGCCATCGTCTCCGATCTGAATTTTGCTCAAGATTTTCTCTTCCCATGCTTGCCTTCCTTCGTCAACGACATCCTCGAAGGATTTCGCATCAGGAAGCTCATTCTCCACGTGAGAGCATGCCTGTGCGGCACTGATGTACGAAATGCCCAATTTGGCCTCAAGAGTAAGGGTGCCGTTGACTCGCTGCTCCTTAGGCGACCAACTGAAAAGAGCGCCAAGGCCCATTCCGCTCCCAGCATAGGACCGGACGTCAGCATACGCGCGCGGAACGGGGCGAGACTTGAAGCTTGGTGGCGAATAAGGATTGTACTGCCAGCTAAACGTGCCAGCGCCGGGAGTATTGGGAAGTTCTCCCTGCACATAGTCGGATGTTGGGGTGAGCACAGATCCTGCAGGCACACTAAAGTTCCCGCAGAAATGGATCGTATGACTTTCAGGCTGCGGCCAGCCACCCGTGTAGGTCGCTGATCCATGGTATGATGGTAAGCCGTTCGAGGATGACCCGACATGTAGCTGCCCGTGCAGGAACTTTTGAGAGTATGCCATCGAAGAATAAGCTGGCAACACGTGTGTGAGGTCGACTAGGACGTGCGCATCGTGCTCGTTGGCTGACAGGGCTCCGGTCATCGTGGAATCAACATTGACAGTGGAAAGATTGTTTGAAATGACTTCTGGTTGAGGGAAGGTGTATCGCATGAATCCGGTATGGTTACCAGAAGTGATCTCGATCTTGATGCCGTTCTGTAGAGTCGTAGTGAAGAGGCCCACTGTTGCGGACTCCAGTTCCAGACTGCGGTTTTGGGCATAGGTCATGTTGTCGGCAAGGTTAATAGACTCGAGACTGCCATACAGCGGCATCTGCGAGATCAATCCATCTAGATGTTGTTAATACTCGTAGGCGCATCATTTGCGCAAGCAGAGGACTAACAGGTTGGAGCTCCGCCAGATCCGCTGACGTGCGTCATGCTCACTGCTGTTACATTCCCCAATGGTGTGTATCCGGCATTGGCGTCCACTGCACTGCCATTCGGAAGCCCAATGTAGCTCGTGTCAATGCCTGGCTTTGCCATCGCCCATGGCAAACTTGCGCCAGGGAAGGAGTTACCGCCTGCGATGGCGGAACCGGGTTTTGGGCCCACGGTTCCGATCAGTGGGTCTGCAGAAATAAAGGTACGAAGTCAGTATATGTCTCACATGCTCTTCGTACAATCAGAACTTACCTACGAAGGACCATAACGGTTCTTGAGATCTGCCATGATTGGAAGTCGACGAAACAAATGGTGCCGACTCGAAGACCGTCACCCAAAGGAGGAGCCGTAAAAGAGAGGGCTGCTGCCGGCTAGCCATTTTGCAGCGCAATCTGATCCAGCTGTGATTGAGATCGTGTGAGATGAGGAACAAAGCTTGCCATAGCAAGTTATTGTACCCCACGCATTGCGCTAAGGGCAACCGTTACCAGGTAGTCCCAAACGGCGCAATACAAGGGCGGTTTTATCGGAAGAGCTCGTGCGCACATGATCTCGCGAATGGAGAGACTTCGGGGTCGAGTTGGGCGACCGGAGAACGCCCTGTCATTTTATCATCTCATGTCGGCACCTCCGACCGCGTTCAGGCTCCCCAGTTTTCGGGTTGTCATTGTTCCGTTACCTCCGAATGACGATCCACGTGGAGAAGGACCGAATAGCTGTCTGCCCGGGCGACGGCCTAATTGAGCCGATCTTGAGTTCCGCGCACTCTTGACGTAGCCTTCGTATGTACGCGCGACCAAGCTTGAGTTTGGGTAGTTAGTTACAGTTGAGGCTTCCAAGTAAGAGAAGATCGCTGACCCACTTTTGATCAACGGAAAGAGGGCTCTTTGGTAGTTTGAACGCGGACATCTTATTCTTTCCATACAAGTTAAGGAATCCGTGTTAGCTACTCAAAAACCAGGGCTATGAGCATATATGTCAGATGCTTCGCTGGAATTTGCGCTATCATCCGACGCTGTCGAGGCATCCTCCGGATCATCCTCGTCCCCACCTTCGTCCGCGGTCTCATCTTCGCTGACCTTTACCTCGGATGCATCGGCATCCTCAGATATCTTACGTGGGTTCCTACAGTCAGCCGTATTACAAAGACAGTACTGGTCACCCTTGAACCATTTCGGACCGTAGTCTAGTGTCAGCTCTTCGCCGATAGCGACTTTTCGCTTTGTGACTACATAAACGGCTCGACGCTCCAAAGAACACACCATCTTTACAAATTCCGTATTCGGATTGCAAGAGTGGTTGATGAAGCGAGTCACACCTCCGGTATGAAGAGCGTCTATAGAAGCTGTTGCGTGTGTCTGAGTTTGGTCAAATTTTGGTTTACCGATCGAGATCCCGACGCGATAAGCATCTCGTTCATGAGCTGGAGTTCCATCGTCTTTGGAAGGTATGATCTGGCCTGTGTACTCTCCTACAATGGTAGCGTCGTGAATCACCTTGCGCGCAAAAACACCGTGACCGCGGGGGCCGACGTCCTTTAGCAGTAAGTGAGAGAGCCAGAAATTATGCAGATGCTTTGCCCATGCGCTGTACCCACACATACAATGTGTGACATCTTCTGGTGCTTCGCAGTTGGGGCATGGCTCGATGCAGGACTCGGTCTCATCAACATCTTCGATAAGACCCTCAATTGTGCTGGGAGGCCAGTTACCTTGGAAGGCTGCTGGCTCAGACTGGTCATGCCAATGTTCTGCATTGAACGCGGTTTCCAGAGCAACCGAGCAGTAATGTTTTCGACCGGCTGCGTGTGTAGCGACTCTATGTCTGGGAATACCGTTTTCGTCCTGAGAGTAGAAGAACAGGCAACCATGTAGATCGTGATTGTATAAGTCTTTCAGGAGCTTAGTGACAACGCCAGAGGTAAACGCCGTCTTTTCGTGTTGCTTGCGCGTAGCCTTTTCCCGAATTTGCTGAAAGACTTCATCTTGTGTCAAGGGTAACATCGTTATTGCGATGTTAGAAAATGGTAGCAAGGCCTCTGGTTGATCCAGAGTATGACTCCCTTCTTACCAGAATAAACATACTCGAGGTATTTACGTATCGAGGCCATATCGCGATGCATTGTGACATTGTGAAAGGAGATATATATCGTGCCAGTGGAGTCGTCTGTTCCATAAAGAGACTTGAATCGCGCGCTGTGAAATCCCGATTGCGGTCGTAGGGGCGTTTCACAATGACCATGCTGGAAGAAAGAATGATTGCGCGACGAAAATAAGTCCACTGTATGCTTGGCACGTCCGCGCTCTCGCACAAACTAGGGCCTCGAGCCTATAGCATGTGATCTGGGCATTCCGGTGTATGCATGGTGTGGATATATCGAAGGCTTGGAATTGACGCTAACGGGGAACACCTGCGGAGAAATATCGCAAGATAGAAGCTGGTTAATATACGTTCTCCTCCGTGTCGTGATAGGGCTAGCCGGATGGTTAGTACGTAGATCATGCTCAGATGTACGCAGCAGTGCGATCTGCAACGCCATGTACCCGGCGCTGGAAACGGGGTACAGAATAGATCGCCGTACTACTTGCTTCTGTGGAACTCCGGTCGAGGATAGCTATAAGAAGCCTCCATGGTGCAGAGACTCCGGAACTAAGTCGGTCAACCTCCATCTCAGTCGACACCATGTTCGCACTCAACTCCATGTTGCCTGTGCTCTTCGCAGCTGTGGCATCCGCGCAGCTCACCTCAAAGCTCACGGAGATCACCGACTTCGGCCCTAACCCGCGCAATGTCTCGATGTTCATCTACGTGCCGGCCAACCTGCCGCCAAATCCCCCGATCTTGGTGTCTCCCCATTGGTGCCATGGTGGGATTATCCCGTGTACTAACTATCTGCGAGACATTTACTGACTTCGTACACTCATCTTTAGGTACGGCCCAGCAGGTCTTCGATTACCGGCCCTGGGCTTCGCTTGGTGACGAATATGGGTTTATCTCGATCTATCCCAATGCTTCAACGCTGAATACGGATCAATGCTGGGATGTGAGTAGCCAAGAGTCGCTCACCCACAACGGAGGAGGCGACGCGCTAGGCATTGTATCCATGGTGCGCTGGACTTTGGAAAAGTACCATGCAGACAAAGACCGTGTCTTCGTTACCGGAACAAGTTCAGGCGCGATGATGACCAACGGTAAGACCGGACGGCATGAAATGCATGTGAGACACACGCTGACTCCGTACCTCCCCAGTCCTTATTGGTAGTTATCCAGATGTATTCGCAGCGGGAAGCGCATGGGCCGGTGTACCCTTCGGTTGCTTCGCTGGCGACGGCTTCGACGTCTGGAGTGACGCGTGTGCTAGGGGCCAAATCGTCAAGAACGGACCGCAATGGGCAGCTCTTGTGCGCAACGCATATCCCACGTATCGCGGCTTTCGACCGAAGTTCCAAACACTCCATGGCACAGCAGACACGGTACTTTATCCACAAAACTTCCGTGAGCAGATCAAACAGTGGACGAGCGTGTTTGATGTGAGCCAGAAACCGACGGAGATTACCGAGGACGTTCCTTTCGAAGGATGGACGAGGTTTCGGTATGGCGACAAGTTCGAAGCGTACGAGGCAGGGAGTGTAACGCATGATATCCCGACGGATGCCGATACGGTGATGGACTTCTTCGACTTGAAGTGCAGCGGGCCGAGCTGCTTCTCGAGGCCCAGATCGGGTAACAGTACATGGTAGTTGATATGGTGTCTTGTTAGCTGTTGCTGTGGAGTCTGTGACACACACAAAGTATAGCGCTCCAATATCAAAGAAGAATAGAGTGCGACGTTAACTCAGACGGCGGCCTGGTCTTGGTTCGGGCTGGTCATTGAGATGGTCCATCGGCGTAATGCGACGAATCCCGGGTCTTGCAAAACAAACTCAGAATAAAGACAGAAGACTCAAGACAGTGCAGGCATAGCGCAAAGACATCGCAAAAACATTTTCGTGATGCGGATGCTGATAAAATAAACGTGTTAGGCAGTGGAAGGACGCGTTTGGGTTCCGCGACCCCCAGCTTGGAACCTTGGAAAGCTCGGCGCGTTACCGGCGCTAGAGCACGTGACGTCATCAGCCGTCCACGCGATTCCATCCTATGTACTTGACCCGTGGACAGCTCCCAACTACCACGGAAGATTACCGCCAGGCTTTACTGTGATCACAAACTCTTTTTCATACACAAACCGCTCATTCATGACCATAATAGTACCCGAGTTCGACTAGCATCAACTATCCAGCGCAGTGCGGAGAAGATGCGCTAGACACGCGGTCGCGCCCACGCATTTGCTGCTCCCATTGAAGATGCAGCCATCTTACGATGCAGCGTACGCGATCTACGCTACCCTGATTGTTCGGTCGCGGATGGCTTTGACCCGAGCTCAAAGATTCGACAGACATATTGTACCCCGCCCTGGGTTTAGCGACCCCAGATGATCACATCGGTTGCCCCAGCATGCAGTCGAAGGAGGAGCATGCCCCTCCGCTGTATAGCCAAGAGCTGGGGAACTTCGTATCGCTCGCATGAGGATGCTGGAAATTCTGATGCGGCTGGAGATCCTCCGCAGAAAGGATTACTATTACGGGGAAGTTCCCCCCGCAGTCTTCATTACACCGACGTTGTCGATATAATGTCCAGACTGATCCCTCGTAGCTCAGGTGGGAGCATACACACCTTTCCCGTCTTTCAGCGATGCGGGCTGTGAAGATCTTTGCGGCCTTCTGTGCCTGTTCGAAATACACGGCGCATGCTTTGCTCGAGGAGAAGTTCGTGGGCTTCGAGCCTGGAGATCAAGCCTTGGATGTTGCTGGCGCTACCGTCATAGCTGACGCAGATGATTTCGTGGGTATTCACCTTGCGCTAAATAGCCTGGTGAACGACTTCGAGCAGATCACTGGAACCCGACCCGCGCTCAGTAACGCCACTACTAATTCTACATTTTCGACTTCATCAACGGGCATCATCGTCGGCTCGGTGGGTTCGAGACTCATCCGTCATCTGTCCTCCGAGAAGGGTCTTGACATATCAGATCTTGAGGGGAAGTGGGAGGTGTTCAAAACGGCTGTGATCGCTGATCCAATAGCCGGAGTGGAACGGGCGCTGGTCATCGTGGGCAGCGATAAACGCGGTACTATTTTTGGTGTTCACACGCTTGCCGAACAAAGTGGGCAGTCTCCGTAAGTATCTTCATCATGTACATCTGGGTGGCGATTGATGAGTTACGACAGGTACCATTGGTGGGCGGATGTGCCGACCAAGAAACACGCCGCTATCTTCGCACTGCCAAAAGTCACTGTTCATGGCCCGCCATCAGTCAAATGCAGGGGGCTCTTCATCAACGACGAAGCACCAGCATTAGTAACATGGTGGGCTGCACGACACAACTCCTCTTACTATCCTCTCGACACTGAGTTCTACGTCCACGTGTTCGATTTACTACTCCGGTTGAAAGCCAACTACCTGTGGCCTGCAATGTGGGGATCGACAACACCAGCACCAGGTCAGATTTTCTTTACAGATGATCCAAGAAATCAGCAGCTCGCAAACGACTACGGTATCGTAATCTCTACCAGCCATCACGAGCCGATGCAAAGAGCCACCAATGAGTGGAACGCAACTGAGACCGGGCCCTGGGATTGGAGGCTGAACAAGGAGAACGTCACGCGCTTTATGGAAGAGGGCATTCGCAGAATGGGAAACAACGAGAGTTATGTGACGCTGGGTATGCGCGGCCCAAGCGATAGTGCGATAGTTGGTGACGATGCCTTGGAGATACTTCGAGAAGTGTTTGAAGTCGAGCGTCAGATCTTCAAAGAAGTACTAGGTGATCAGAAAGTGAACCGTAAGAGTAATCATTAAGACAAGGTTTGGGCCACGCTGACAAAGTATAGAAGCATGGACGATATATAAGGAAGTGGCGACCTATTACGCGGCCGGACTTAACCCTCCCGATGATGTCACTATCATCATGCCCGATGATAACCATGGCCAGATTTTGCGCTTACCCACTGGTAACGAGACTGCCAGGGAAGGCGGCGCTGGCATATACTTTCACTTCGAGTATTTTGGTAGACCGCGATCGTACAAGTGGTCAAATACCAACAGCTTGGTCAGTATGCGCAGCTTGCATGATCAATCTTTTCCTAACAGACGCAGTCTAAGGTGTTGAAAGAGCTTTTGCAAGCTTACTGGCGCGATGCGAACCAGGTTTGGGTCATCAATGTTGGTGATATCAAGCCTTTGGAGTTACCTTTTGGATTCGCTATGGACTTGGCTTGGGACATCTCGAAATTCGAATTCGACATGATACCAGAGTATCTGCGCCTCTACGCCGAGAGGGAGTTCGGGATGGAACATGCAGATGATATTGCGGCTCTACTGATGGAGTTCAACCATCTTATTGGAATGCGCCGCTTTGAGATGGTCCAACCAGACACCTACTCAGTATTGAACTATCATGAAGCGGAAACGGTCTTGACAAGGTGGAGCACGCTTGCGCGCGGTGCCAAAACACTATACGACCAGATGCCGGACGATCACAAAGCCGCATTCTACGAGCTACTGTTCTATCCCCTAGTATCGGGCGCCACATACTACGCAGTAAACGTTCGCACTGGAATGAACTACCGACATGCTATGGAGCGGAGGAACTCAGCAAACGCCCTCGCTCACCAGATTTTGGCCGACTTCGAATATGACTACGATCTAGTTGAAGGTTTTGACGCTGTCCTGAATGGAAAATGGCTGCACATCATGTCTCAGGCCAAACTCGAAACTTTTGACACCGGAAAGCCCAAGAATTGGATGAATCCATCCCGCGACATAGTCTCGAACCTTTCTTTCGTTCAACTGCGTCAAAACATGCAGTTCTCCGTCGGCAACCTTGGTATCTATGCGGAGGGCTCCAATAGTCCTCTCGACCAGGGCCGATGGGCTGAGTCAATCGATCCATCGTTGCCTTTCACCAAGTCTCCAGCCAAGGTACCAGAGATGAGTCCGTATGGACCTCGTCAGCGGACTATCGATCTCTTCATGCGAGGTGACTACCGCATTCCGCTCGACTGGCAGCTCGGTGATATCCCG